ACCAGCCTGGAGTTTCAGACAGTTTCGAAGTATAGGTCACACGGTGGATAAACCTATCACATTATAAAATTAAGCTAAAGTTTATATCTATCGGGAGTAATCAAGATTAATTTTTGCTTTTGATAAATAGTTTTACCTCTAGATATATCTATTAATCAACACAAACAACTTAATCAAAATTATATGATTGCCTAATTTTAGGAATTCTTAATGCCTTTTAAATCGAATAATAAATAAATGTTATTTATTTGTCTTAGAAATTGCTATAAGCTAGATAAATCACAACCACCTTTCTTGTGATTTGAGGCTTTTTGTTTCGCCCTGCCGCCTACCTCGCATTTCAATTTTATAGCTTACCTCGGCCCTCCAGATGGCAGCTGCTGTCGGCCTACTCTCTGTACTCCAGAAGACAATTTCTCCAGGTGATAGCTATTTTATAATCATATTTCGTATCTATTAGACCAGCATGAGCTCGAAGTTGCTCAGCATTTTCTTGAAGAGGCTGCCAAAAGCAATCTGCCTGCTCTACTTACACAGCTTAGTGACATTCTCGCAGATGTGAAAAATGACCCAGTTGTACGTATGCAAGCTGGCCTTCAACTCAAGAACGCTTTATATTCCAAAGATGAAGCGATTAACAAAGTTTATCAAAATCGATGGCTTCAATTCCCTCCTGATCAGCGAGAACACATAAAACAAAATGTTGGATTTTTGTGAATTTTCTTACTTATCAATCAGTGCTTCTCCACTTTAGGCACGGAAGGGAGTGGACGGAGTTCAGCTGCACAGTGCGTGGCATATATAGCTTGCGCTGAAATACCTGTTAAGCAATGGCCTCATTTAATCGTCAGTTTGTGTCAAAATATCCTACGTCCAGACGCCAGTGAAAGTTTGAAGCATGCCACTCTTGAGGCCATGGGATACATATGTCAAGATATAGTAATATATTTGAAGTGTTTATTTATTCTTATTAGGTTCCAGAAATATTGGTTTCCCAGTCTAATGAGATTCTGACTGCTATTATATGCGGCATGAAGAAGGATGAACCAAGGTTTGTCTCTTTAAACCATTATTAACAGTGAAAATGTGCGCCTAGCTGCCACTACTGCCTTGCTTAATTCTCTCGAATTCACCAAACATAATTTCGACATTGAGGTATGAACGTCTTTGAGTCAAAATACTCTAGAATGAGCGAAATTATATAATGACGGTAGTGTGCGAATCAACTCAGTCACCTAATCCACAAATTCGAGTTGCAGCTCTTCAATGTCTCGTAAAAATTATGTCTCTTTACTACTGTCATATGGAAATGTACATGGGGCAGGCCCTTTTTGCTGTAAGCCTTTTCCTATTTATGTCTTATTTAACTAGATAACTTATGATGCAATGAACAGCGACATCCCTGAAGTGGCCCTTCAAGGGATTGAATTCTGGTCCACGGTTTGCGACGAAGAACTTGATTTGGCTCTTGAGGCAACTGAATGCATGTCCAAAGGTGTTCCCCCAGCAATATCCAGTAAATTTTATGCGAAGGGTGCACTCGAACATATTACGCCAATTTTGATGAGGATAATGGCTCAGCAGGTAATATCTTGTTCACATAAGTTCTTCATACCTTACAATCAAATGTTAAATGTAAGTTTTTCAGGATGAAGCGGCCGATGATGACGATTGGAACCCAAGTAAGGCAGCTGGTGTTTGTCTCGTTCTCTTGGCACAGTGCTGCGAGGACTCTATTGTTCCATTGGTTATTCCTTTCGTGAATGACAATATAAAGCATGAAAATTGGAGAATGCGAGACGCAGCAATAATGGCATTCGGAAGCATTCTTGAAGGCCCCAATACCGATGCTCTCAAGGTAAATCAATGAATAAGATAATTTGCTTGTCATTCCCACATGCGC